CCCGACACATGGGATCTGTTTTTTCAGGTGCAGCCACGGCTTGATGGGACGCTGGACGACGGTGGTGCCAACGAATGTCCAGAAAACGTCGGTCGAGCGGTGACCATCGACGACGATGCGTGCACTTTCGTTTCGTCTTAATTGACCTCAGACACGACGAGGCCAAAAAACGACGTGGAGCTCTCTAGTCGGTCGTCGGGCGATCAATCACCATTCAATCTATCACCTAGCGAGCGAGTGTTACAAACAACTCTCGTTCTTGTGCGTAAGTGTGATCGAATTTCGCCTCTTACAAGACATAACCACAAAGAGAGAAACGGTTTCGACAAGTCTCACTAGAAACCTTTGCTGACAAATAGGCGAATCCTCCCTTTTGTCCTCTTCTTCCTCGTCGACCTCGTCTTGTCGCGTCCTCCTTTCTTCCTCTTCCGCCACAACACCTCGTTGTCCACCCGAACAATGCACCTCGTTACCAGATGATGTGTCTCATTGTTCCGCCACAGTGGTGACGACAAATCGACTTTCGCGACAACCAAACGTTGCTTCTTCTCTGTCCACTGTCGCTGAGTGAACTCAACCGGACGTTTACCAATCAGCATTCGACACCAGCCATCAATAACTGATTGGTGAACGTCATCAGCCTCAAGTTCGATTTCCATAAACACGGTTCTTTATGGCCAATTTCGGAACATTAGCGTTGGTCAACATACAAGTCGTCAGGTATGTAAATTAAGGTCATTTACTCACAGCATTTACTCATAGGAGCAAATCTGTGTTTAGCTACTGACTGTTGTTTCGAAAAACTATTTATATAAATAACGAACAAGTTCGTTTTCGACCATATCATTGTTAATAAACGTGTATATAATCCAAAAACAGAGCTTGTTACCGTGCAGACAATTCCGGAACCAACTATGAGATAAATACAACGCAGATGATTCGTTCTTTAAGGCTGTTACTGAATTGTTTGAACACGAATCAGTTCTCTAATCGGTCGTTCCATCAAAAACACGAGTTCGTAGTTAGAGTGAACGAACTGTCTACAAACTTTATGCTCCTTGGTCACAATTGTTTGGTCACTCCTAACTGTTCCATATCGTTCTTTATGAGAATACATAATATTTTCCTTGGTTGTCTCTTTCTTCCTCTTAATTTCCTGGCAGTATCACTGATTACACAAATGCGATTTCAACAAATTCTACTGAAACTGAAACTACATTTAAAGTGCCTCTAATGAGGCCGTTTCGTATATGGTGCTTTTTGCTGATCAACACACACATCTGATCATTTGCGCTTCCATGCAGTTCATTTGTTATTCATGTCTCTTGAATGTATGCAGACATTTCGCTATATGCAAAAGTGACGTCTTACCATCGTGAGTATGCCTTTCTTTTTACTCCGATGGACAGTGTGGACTGTACACTGTGCCGCTCACCTTGCTTCATTTATCCCTCGTTAATTTTCGAAAATAAAGAATTCAAAATGAATATTATCATTTAAATTAATTATTTAATCTCCATGATGTTGTTTCTCAAAATTGTTCTTTGACCGAGTTCAAACAGCGGCACAATAGTCCAACACACCCTTATAACGAATAACTTTCTCCTGACCGAGAAATCACTCACCACTGTGATGATTCTGACGTATCGGCATGCCAGAGACGAGACCTGAAGACGGGCTGTCGTAGAAAAGACGCATTCGAAATAGCCTGGATATAGATAAAGATGCAAAAAGCTTAAATGTATAAACAAAGCACTGTCAAGCTTCGAAATCCATTTCATCGAACTGAACAAATTGGTGACGAACGACACCACTGAAAAAAACTGATGCATTGACAGCTTTTCTATTCTTGCCTGACTACTTTCGTTCATACACGTCACAAAAACCGGATAATTGATTTTTAGCTTCCCTAATGGGTAAAAGTGTCAAATATTCAATTCCGTTATGACACCACACCGAAATTAAACCAAAACAATGTTTCTTTGGTAGCGTGCATCATTGCACGACTACGTTCGGGCACCAGTCACACGAGAAGACACAACAGAGCTGTTCGGAGGTAGCAAAGGAAAAGAAAAGCTTGTCACCGTTGGAATGTCGATCTTCGTTCAATTTCATGACTGAGCCATTTTGGTGCCCTTCTTTTCGCGCAGTTGTTGATGCGGTGTTCATCAGTCAGACGTGTCTCATTTGTTTTAAAGGCAAAGTCTACAGCCATGTGGCAAGCGTAGCCGGCAGTCTCCTGTTTTCTTCCCATAGAGTTTTACGCATTTATCAACCTGAGAAGTAAGAAAGGAACGTGATCCGTACCGAGGTTTGAACTCAGGTCCTATCGGTGTTGATTACGACGCTCGTCCACTGAGCAACCCCGGTGTGAAGCAATATGGGGTGGATTTCTCGCTCAAGGGAATTCGTGAATTAAACAAGGATTTCCGTCCAGGAGGAATCGAACCCAGCACCTCGGCAAAACGACTGTGCCAACACGCCAAGTTAAGAAAGTGCATTTGCACGACTCAATCACATCCGCTTAGCACATCACTCTTAGGACATAAACATAATAACGTCACCGTTTTGTCTCCGGTTACTTATTCGGATTCGTATCGCACACCTGCACCATTCCCTTACTTGTAATAACCTAAGGTACGTTTACAAGCACACCATGGCTCAGTAGCATTTCAGAGCCTGTAGAACATGAAAGCAAAACAGCACTACTTTGCTGGTTCGAACAAAACATTTTTGAACAGAAGAATATATAATAAAAACTGTATATATTGCGAGTTTCCTAGCAAACAGCCAGTTTTCAATACCGCCGGTAGGAAAAACAACCTTCTGTCACTTCTTCGGATTCACACGGCGAAATTCACCGTCTCACAGTTTCGTGTAATTGCCTTGGGTTGTTTAAACAATTCGATTGCTGACCCTTCTTTCATAAGCCCTCAATACTATTTGCAACAACAAAACAGTCCCGTTAATCCGAACATAGGTACGAGCAATTTTTAATAAATCATTCTGATCTGTCTTATGCTTTCAATGCTCGCAATAAACAATAAGTGAGCTTACTATGCGGACCATAAACATTGATAAGACGCTTAACGCCCGCTGCGAAAATTTTAATGTTTTTGGGCGACGAAAGCGAGAAGAATATGAGAGATGTTTTTAGCTAATTATTTTCCTTGCCAAAGAGTTTATGACGCCATTGATACTTGAACTTCAGCCATTAAGCTTCAAAGTGTAAAATTACGAACCTCCGAGCTTAACTAATTTTAACCTCTTCTTCCAACAGGCGTTTATGGCGAATTCGTTGACTGCCCTCACTCCTTGTCACACACAGCTTTTAAGCCTCACCCTTAGCACAGCTAAGATCACCTTCTGTGCACTACAAAACACTTCAGATCCGAGAAAAAACATTTACTTTGGCAGTGCCTCTGATATTGGGGCGTTCAAATTATTCTGTTTCCCTTAAACAACCTGAATACAATACATAAGCATAATAATTGTACACCATTTTAAATCGAACAAAAAACACCGTTCCAAGTTCCGAAAGCTCTGAAACTTTAAACAATGGTTTTCAACCATTTCTACCATTATCTTACTGTCGGTTTCATTTCTCACCTTCTTACGTAAACAAACCAAAGTAACTGATGCTGAAAAAACTTAGACAAAATTATGAATTAGGCGATTTTATCGGAGAGATCTTGTAGGAGTGAATTATTCTAAAATGTGCCTAATTCTTTCCACTTGAAATGACTGTTCGTTTCATGACCGGCATTGGTCAGTTGGTAGAACGTCGAACTCACATCCGAAAAATCTCGGAAGAACAAGTTGAGAGATCTCAGGTTCAGACTGCGATTGGGTAACCCACCTTTCTTCACTGAAACGTTGAAAAATGAGTATCACTCAATGGAAAGGCAAGAGCAGACTATACGTGACTGAAATCGCAAGACACAAACGTAGTAGCTTCATTCACGGTAGCGGGGTTTCCAGACTTACTGATTCCTCTCCTGGTAAACAAACCGTTCCAGTAGGGTCAGTCATTCAAGTCATTTCATTCTATCATCAAGTCTTTGTTTCCAGAGGCAGAGAGGACCATGAAGACGGGCAGTCTACGGTTCTATGGCAATGCACAAACAACCTGTCTCAGCTGTAGCTAACAAAGGCACGTTCGAACACCTATAAAAATGCTATTGCCCGTAAACAAATATGCAAACAAAACATAACCACGATATTCTGCGGTAAGTACCTTAAATGGTAGCTTTATGATTTCGCCTATATAGATGCAAATCTTTTGATCTTATGCGAACGTGCTGGGAGAAAGTGAAAGAGGCCAAGGGGTCATTTAGACAGATCACGATTAAAGCTACATTCATAGGAAACAGAACCTGTGCTGAAACTCTGAGTTGCGACAAACAAAGCACCATTAAACTATTCGCATGCTCAACTGTACAGAAAAGGCCAAACTGCATTCTTGTTCTTGTTCTAAGCAACCATTATAAGTGGCCACATTTTTTCCAATTCCCTAAGTCAAGTTATTTCATTCTAGCAGATTTACACGGCGTAAATGTGCAGTCTCTTTGCTCGAATCGTCAGCTGTATATCTGAGTTGGACCGAAATCGTCGTGAAATGATTTGGCATCCTTACCTGCAAAATTGAAAAACTGCCACTTGCATATGTTGCCCCAGAATATCCGCATCATTTTTTATTTATTTAGAGTATTAGACCTGTCGCTCATTTCGTCTAAAATTCCTGGTCTAATTGAAATGCATTTCATAAATTTCAAGACAGTCGGCCAAATAGGATTTAGCAATGCAGTTTAACAGATCTTTTGAATCACTGACGGAAACTAGCCTAGGAGAAGAAGGACTCTGACTACAAAAATGGACGGAAGCGCTACGGGATTCCGTACATCGCAACTCCTAAAGAAAACGTGAGGAATATTTTAACTATGACTATTTTTTGAATGAACAGTGTGAACCCACCAGGAAGAAAGATTTTGAAGATGTCTGATAGGAGGTATGAGGAAGTGGTAAGAGAGAATAACGACTTTGAGCCTCTTGCAATGCCACACCTTGAATTTCCACCGTAGTAAGGTTTCTACTCTAACGCCCGATACCTTCATTACTTTTAATAGAAGATTATTATGCCTCACATCGCCATACGTGAAATCAAAGCAAGAAATCACTAGACCGCCATGTGTATCCAAATGTATCGAACAAGCTTACGGTTCATGGGAGGTATGATATGTTCCGGGGTTAACCACAGGACTCTTTTCCTTTGGGTGATGGCACGTTACTGTCACTCGTCCGTACTTAACCTACTTTCATGGATTAATTACACTTGAGCCGCATGATATGGTAAATCGTAAAGTTGTTAAGAATCGATTCACGGCACACCCATAACCGTATTCATTCAGTAAAGCACTGATTTAGGTCTGATCTCACACAAAAATAGTCGATTTGAACCGTAAACTTTTAGGAGTAAGGCAGAAAAAGTTGAAAAAAGTCACACTCAAAGTCAGTAAGTAGCCTCTCTCTCACACACACATGTTCATGCTCAAAGACACCTGCAGCAGAACAGCAGCTTTTTGGCCGAAGAGTTTCTATT